TATCCCCAGTGCCTCTCCAGACCTTCCCTCCCAGAGACCTCATCTCTCCCTGGGACCCCTCCTCTGACTTATCCTGAAGAGGCCTTCCTGACCCTCACCACACCCTGCCAGGGCCACACCTGTGCCTAGGGTCTGGCTCATCAGCAGGCCCCCCCCCCATGCTCTGGGGGAGCCTGGTGAGGGTGTGGGGAGCAACAGCCACTCTGTCTGTAACTGGGGCCGGGGAGAGAGAAGCTATCAAAAGGCAGAGCCAGAGGGGACTCTGATGCCTTGTTTCTTACTTTAGAGGGGCCGGTCTGTCCATCCATCCACCCACCCATCATCTACTCACCCATCCATCCATTATTCATTCCATTCATTGGTCCATCCACCTGTCCCCCGATCCTGGTATCCTTTAGTATGCCTGCGTTGGGCTCCCCTTATCTGCCAGGACCTCTGGTGGGTAATGAGGATGCAGCAGTAACCAAGACCGATCGGTCCTCATGGAGTTGATAGTCGAGTGACATCAAGCAGCAGATCACCGCTAAGTGTGTAATGACAACGTGAACTTAGCCCAGGAAATCCAGGAGGGTGGGAATGACACAGGGCATATGGTCTGGAGAATGAGAGCCCCAGGGGAAGAGTTCTAGGCAGGAGCCATAGCATGTGCAAAGGCCCTGTGGTGTGTAGCTCGCAGCACATTCAGAGACCAGAAGGATGACCTGTGTGGCTGGTGGTGAGATCAGAGGGGTGGTGGAGTGGAGGACACGGCTGGGGGGAAGCTTGGAGCCAGGGAGGGCTGCTGGGGATCTTTGAAGCACAGAAATGATAGGATTCCCAAGTGGGAAGTACACTGTTGGGGACAAGAGAGGAGTGGGGGGCAGTTGGGAGAATTCACTGGGTTCTGGACTAGGGGAATCTCCAAAAGTATCCGATTTCAGAGACGTGTAGGCTAGAGAGGGGTCCTAATGCACTTTGTTCATTCATTCGGTCCCCTGTGTCCTCCTTCAAAGCCTCTACGTATCTAGCACACCTGCTGAAGCATGTGCTAAGAACGGCACCGGCTGTGGGTGCTCAGATTCTCCCCACTTTACAGAAGGGGGAGCAGAGGCACACCAGGTCTGGGGTGCCCATGCAGTGATGGGAGCCACGAGCCTGGCTGCCGCTGGTGCCCCACACTTGTCTCCTGCCCCCATCTACCCTCAATTATTTGGTCGACAAATGCTCCTTGGGCCAGCCTTGTCCTCAGGGAGCCTTGGGGTGGGAGGCAGGCACCATGTAGCCTTGGACTGCTTGCTTCCTTTCCCTGAATTGGGCTACTCCCCTGTGCCTCAGTTTCCCTGTCTGTAAACTGGGGATTGTGGCCCTCCTCCACAGTGGGTTAATCTGTGCCCTGTTGGGCTGAGGTCTCTCCTGGGAGCTTTGGACAGGCCTTCTGGCCCCTCTACCAGGGGAGGAGACAGAGCTCAGAGAAGCTGTTGGCCAGAGCTACATGGGTGTAAGGAGGCTTCTCAGGACTGGAGCTTTTTTTCTTTGAGCTTCCTGGAGGACCTGTCTGTGGGTGGCTGCAGGGGGCAGTCTGGCTCCTGGCAAGCACCCTGTCCCTCGTCTCTCCCACAAGCTTAGTTCCCTGGGGGGTGGGAGTTGAGGACCAAGGCCATGCAGCATGAGGTGGTGTGACTCAGGGTGGGAGGGGCTGGTTAATACCACCTGGGCCCCTTTCCCAGCCTCCGCATCTCTGATCTCAGGAACGCTGCAGCTTGGGGTGTGGGGGGAGTCCTGGGGATCTGCCACACCACACCAATCAGCCTCAGGGCTCTGCAGAGGAAGTAGGTTTTGTTGACTGGGTGAGGTTCCTGTTTAGGGACCACAAGGCTAACTAACCAGCTGGAAGGGCCCGCCTCCTGGACCCCGCACCTCCGAAGGCAGATGTTTGGGACCTATCCCGAGGTTCCTTGTCTCTCTGGGCCTCGGTTTCCCCAGCCCCCGAAGGTGATGGGGTGGAGGTCCAGGGGAGGGGCTTCAGCTGAGCTGGCTGTGGTGAGGATCAGGTTCTGGGGTCCCTTTCGAGGCCGGGCCAGCCCCCTTTCTCACCAGTAGCAGCGTCCAAGAAATGATGACCAGAGCTCCCATCACAGTGTTCTAGGCCCTTTTGTAAGCCCTCTGCATGTCCTCACCGGTTCATCCTCACCCTGAGGCTGTGGTGCAGGGGCAGTCTTTATGCCTGCAAACTGCCCCGGGGATAGAGGCAGAGGTCTGGACACCTGCCCGCAATCACACCACAGGAAGCCTCAGTGTCAGGCTTCCAGCCCCGACAGAGCACCTCCAGATGAGAGTCCCCAGTTACTCAGCACGGGAATCAGCACAGAGCAAGCTCAAGGCCTCCTCCCTCAACCCAACTGGGAGGAGACCCTGCCCCAACTGGGTAAGGGGGAGTGGGCAGTGAAGCCCCCAGTACCCAGGCCGGCTTATCATCAGAAACCCCCCGAGACCTGACTCAGAAACTTCCCCTCTCTCACTCTCCCTGTCTGTGCGATGGAGGAAGGTGGCTTGTGGCTTCCGAGGTGCCCCCTCCTGACCGCTGCAGGACCGAGGGCTATTCTAGGACTCATGCTTTTTACTGTGGTGCTAGTTCATCCATTTGTCTGGCAGGTATTTATTAAAGTGTCCCCCCAGTGTCTTGGGGTCACAGCAGGGATAAGGCTGCCTTCCTGCCTTCCTCCCAGCAGCTCCAGGCCCGACAGGGGCGGTGGACATCAACCAAATATTTGCTCTGGAGCATTCTTCACCATAGCTAAAGTTGGGGTTCAGTGGGCACGGTTAGGCTGTGATGACCGGCCCGCCCAGGCTGGCTGGCAGGGCAGGCTTCCTGGAGGTAGAGGTGAACTGAAGCATTCATTGGCATCTTCCTCCCCTGTTGGACTTTGTGGCCATGCCAGCGTTCTGCCCAGCACAAAAAGGGGCTCAGTGTTTGCTAAGAGAGCAAAGCTGAGACAGACCTTTTGGGGGAGTCATGGACCTTTCAGAGCCTTGCTTTTCGCATCTGGACAATGCAATTCCAAACCCCACTTCACTCCAAGGGAGTTCTGTCCCCCTCCCACTTGCCCCTCTGCACCCCTTCTGCTGACGACCCAGCGGTCACAGCAGACCAGCCCCCATCCCAGCTGGGGCCGCAATGAGGAACACAGGAGGCTCCTGGACAATCATAATTTAATAAAGTCCAGGCTTTGGGTTAGTCCTGGCAATCCACTAACTTGCTGGCTTCTCACAGACCAAGACTGGACCAGGGACTGGTTGGCCTTAGGGTCCAGAAGGGGACATGGAGGCTGGGAGGAGGGAAGGCAAAGGGTGAGGAAGCAGAAGTCGAGGCAGGCAGAGCTCAAGGCAAGAGCGGGTGGCATCCAGGGGACCCTGTGGTTTCAGGAGCTGCCAGGCCTGGGGCTGCGGCCTGGTCCCGCCCCTCATCAGTCTCTGAACTGTGAACAGCACGGTGGGGGTGCTCGCCCCTCTCCCTTCGGATCATGTTTTCCTGCTACACCATTGTCACGGGAGCTACAAACCGACACTTACAATGTACCTGTGTACCTGTCCCCTGGCGTCCCTGGCACTGGGAATCATCAGAAGGCTGGGCGCGGCGTCCACCAGCTGCTCAATAAACATCTGTTCTCGAAATACAGGCCGCTCCTTGGGCGGCTGCGGAGTGGACACCCATTTACCGTTTACCGGGGAGGAGCGCGGCTTAGCTGCTGGGTCCTTATGTCCGGAAGGAAACCCTCACTTCGTCCCGCACTGACGGGGGAGAGCCACCGCCGGGTTGCTGTGAGTCCTTAGGGGCCCGGCCCGGACAAGGCGCTCAACGATAAATTTAGTTGCGCCCCTTGTTGCCATTGCTTGATTCATCACTCGGAGTCAGGAAAGCGGCTCTCCAGAGAATCTGCCCACAGCGAGTGTGGGTCTGGGCCCCGCCCAGGTGGACTGAGGCAGGGGCCAGGGGCTCCCGGGGGTCCCCGACTTCGCGGGTCCGCAGGCTCAAGCGCTAAGGGTGGCCATCCACAGGGCGCCACCACCTGCTGCCCACCCACCTGCCCCCGGGGTCCGGCCGAGGGGCAGCCCCCTGCGGCCTGGGGGCGGGGCGAGGCGGGGACGGAGGCTGGGGACGCTTGTGCGGCCGTACTAGGAGGAATACGGCGGCGCGGCGGCCAGGCTGGGCGGTTTCCCGCCGCCGCCGGTGAATGAGTCCCTGCTGCGCTGCCACCGCCGCCGGTGCTGGAGCTGCGGCCGCTTCCCCCGCGCGGGCCCCGGACCTTCGCGCCAAGACCCCGGCGTGCCCGCGGGACAGACTCCAGCCTCGGGCCACCACCCCGGGGCAGGTGAGTGCGGGGACCCCCGCCACGGTCCGCAGGGTCTGCTGCGACCCCCGCCCCCACCCCAAGCTGAGTCTGGCGGGGGTGGGGGGCGGAGAACTGGCGGGAGGGGTCAGCTGGCTGCGCTGTCAGGCCCCCGACTCACCTCCTCTCCCTGCCCCACCCCGGTGCCTGGGCCCTCGGCGCTGGGCGAAGCCACAGGTGGGTGGGAGCTTGGGGTGGGGGGCGCGGGGCTGGGACCTCCTGGGGGTCCGCACACACGCCGTGGATGTCTTCCCTTTGGACTGAGCGCAGACCCTTTAGAAAGCGCTTTGAGATCCTTAAAACGGGGTGGGGGCGGGAGAGGGGCCCCTCTCCCCTGGGAGCTTCCCAAGAGTCGGAGCGCCGCCCCCCACCTCCCTCGCTTGGGCTCTCCGGTCTGGGAAGTTAAGCCCGATCTCTCTTGGGAGGGGAAGGGAAGCGCGACACGCCCTGAGTGACCCTGCTGACGCCCTGCTGGCTCCCTGCTGGCCAGGGCCTTGTCCTTGTGGCCCCCTACACGGGCGCCAGGAGCCCCCTCTTCCAGTCCCCCGGTACTTGGGAGCCCGCAGCTCCTGACCCCTGCTTCTCTTCCCAGACTCTGCAGAGCTCCTCCTGACCTCCGTCCTGCCTGCCCCCATGAAGAAAACCAACCTGTGGTTCTTGGAGCGTCTTCGGGGGTCTGGGGAAAACGTCACGCCTGGGAGCGAGGCTGGGGACAAGGCTTCCAAGGGGCCCCTGTACAGCAATGTGCTCACACCTGACAAGATCCCTGACTTCTTCATACCCCCCAAACTGCCCGCTGGCCCCGCAGATCCTGAGGGGCAGGCTGAGCTGGGCCCCGCCTCACCGGAGCAGAACCTGGCCTCGGGGACACCCCGCCGAGCCCCCCGGAGCCCCCGGCTGCCTGCCAAGTTGGCAGCTGAGAGCAAGAACCTGCTGAAGGCAGCCACTCGGCACGTGATCCAAATCGAGAGTGCGGAGGACTGGCCGGTAGAGGAGGCTGCCACCAACGCTGACCCCCAGGCCCAGGGCGCCATGTCCCTGCCCTCCGTGCCCAAGGCTCAGACGTCCTATGGCTTTGCCACACTGGCAGAGAGCCCCCACACGCGGCGTAAGGAGTCCCTGTTCCACAGCGAGCATGGAGCCCTGGCGCAGGTGGGATCCCCAGGTGCCGGTCGCCGTCGGGGGGGCGCCAAGGCCAATGGGGGCGATGGGGTGCCCAGGGAGGCTGGTGGGGCCCTCATGAGCCCCAGCCGCTACTTCAGTGGTGGGGAGAGTGACACAGGGTCCTCAGCGGAGTCCTCCCCTTTCGGGTCCCCTCTGCTCTCACGCTCTGTGTCGCTGCTGAAAGGGTTTGCCCAGGACAGCCAGGCCAAAGTGAGCCAGCTCAAGCACTCGGCGGGCCGCCACGGCTCCCGGTCTGCTGAGGACAGTGCACCAGACACCAGCCCCGGGGCGCGGCGCCGCCTGACCCGCAGGGCCACCCCAGAGCCGGGCCCTGAGACTGGCCAGGTGCCCCGTGCAGAGCATGCGGTCCGGATGGGCCTGCGGGGCAGCGTGCGGCTGCTGGTGGAGTATGAGGCGGCCCAGGCCCGCCTGCGGGTACGCCTGCTGGCAGCCGAGGGTCTCTATGACCGCCTGTGTGACGCCCACAGCATCAACTGCTGTGTGGGGCTGTGCCTGGTCCCTGGCAAGCTACAGAAGCAGCGGAGCACCATCATCAAGAACAGCCGCCACCCCGTCTTCAACGAGGACTTCTTTTTCGATGGCCTGGGGCCGGCCAGTGTCCGGAAGCTGGCCCTCAGGATCAAGGTGGTCAACAAGGGCAGCAGCCTCAAGCGGGACACGCTGCTCGGGGAGGAAGAGCTTCCGCTGACCTCCCTGCTCCCTTTCTTGTAAAGGCCCCTCCTGCCTCCCTCCCTCCCTCCTTCGCTCCCTAGGGGGCAGAGGGAAGACCCCCCTTCCCTCCCACTCAGATCCCCGTGGGCAGGAGGCCAGCAGCCAGGAGGGGGGCTAGAGGGCTGTTTAAACTCAGGCTGGGCTGCCGTCCATGCTGGGGGTTACTGGGTTGCCAATGGTGACTGGAACACTATCTTTCATGGGTTAATTTTTTCAGAGGAGGAAGAGAGGCGGCAGCCAAGGAAGAGAAGGGGACACTTTGCAGGGCTGAGCACCCCCCTACCCCATGCCCTAAGTTCCATCCCGCCTCACCCCTTTCAGAGTTCTGGAAAGGGGTTCTCCGGGGGGGTGCTGGCCAGGAACCTGTGAGACCCTTTACTTCCCAGTTCCCCAGTGACCCTGCAGGGGCCCAGAGGGCCTGGAGGCCGCAGAAGTGGATCACAGACCTAGAGGTGGCCAGTTCTGAGGCTGAGCCCAATATTTCCCTTGGTTGCATGAGAGTCCTCCTGCCCCGGCCCACCAGACACCCCCCCCCGCCCCCTCTGCCCCCACCAGACAGCAGTATCAGGTCTGGGATCTACCAACAGCGCCCACAAGGCTGCAGGAGACACCCCACCTGGGTCAGGCTCCAGAGCAGAGCAGGCCAGAGAGGCAGGTGCCTCCCACTGGGAGAAGACAGGCGGAGAAGGGAGGCAGCTTTGCTGTGGGGCTGGAGGAAGGCCCGGCAGAGGACAGCGGAGGCTCGGGCTCCCCTCCTGCCCCTGGGAGCTCTCCTGTCTGCTTCTCCTCCAGCACCTTCCCTGCTGGGCCAGCCCACCTCATGCCCAGGAGCCTCCCGCCCCTGGAGAGGTTGCTCAGAACAGGCCCAGAGCGTAGCCCCCAGTCCCCACTCTGCCCCGTCCCTCCAAGGCAGGGGGCTGCCACCCCGCTGCGCAGCACCCTTGGCCGCAGGATGCCGGGAAGTGATAGCCAGGGACTGATGGTTGGGTTTTCACTCCACACAGTAAATAGCTTTTGGTTAGCGTGGGTGGAAGCTGGCGGGCGGGGAGGACCCTGGTTGTGCGCCTTCATGCTGCATGGGTTTAAAACTGTGTCCATATGTGGGTCCTTGAATGATGTTTGTGGATGTTTCCCAGCTTAACACAACAGAAACGGTACAGTTTGAAGCAGGGGCCAGGCCAGGCTGCCTGATGGTTGGACGGGCGCAGTCCCTGGGGTACCCCTCCCCACCCAAACACTGTCTCTCCTGACTCGGTTTCCAAATCCCACTAGGGGAGGGATGAGGGAAATTTCCCCCATAGCTGGGGAAAGCACTTGTTCCTGTTTGCACTTTGGGACTGAGAATTTGGGGCCCTTGGAGCTGGGGTCCCTTGCTGTGCCCCCTCTCCCCTCCCCACCTCTGTCCTGGGCCTGTTCCTTCATGCTCCCTGCTCCTGGTGTCAGAGGGGGGCTCCCCTTTACTCTAGAACCTGGAGAACCCCCCCCAGGGCCAGGCTCGTGGGCTGGAGCAGGTGGACAGAGGACCCTGCACTGAGTCAGAAGCTTGGAGCTTGCACGCTCTCCCTTCCCTCTGCCCCCGACCCCTGCTTTCCCTCTGGGGAGGGCCCATTTTATATGTCCCTGCACTGTTTGATATCTTCGTGTTCCAAGTTGACTGTGGGTAAATCCTTAAGACACCCTCTCCCAAGTGTGTTTGTTTATAAATGCTGTTTTTAGTGCAATAAAGGTGTTTCGGGAGTGCGGGGGTGGAGATCTGTTTGCTTTGGTGTTTAATAACAAGAGGAATTTTGCCTTGAGCTCCAGGGAGGGTGGTGGGGGCCTTCTGATCGTCGGAGTCCTCTCAGCCCATTCGGATCCTCTGGGTCTGTCTCCTGCTTGGGGTGGGGGTGGGAAGGCAGACTGCAGCAGGGTGGTGCCACTGGGGACCCTGGGCCCTGTCACGGTGGCGGCTAGCATGCATTTTATTCAGACGCTCTGTGTACGGGTCCTGTCCTCGCCCTCCATCTGCACACACAGCGTCCCACCTCACAGACGAGGGCAGGGGTGCTTTAGTAATATGCCCAAGGCAGCCTAGCTAATGAGAGCCAGGACTGGAACCGGCACCCTCACTGTGGCCACTGGAAGGAGGCCAGGGCCTGCCCCTTCCAGGCTCTGCCCACTTGGGGACACACTGGACTTGCAGCGTCATCACCAACAGGGACCCCGTCAGATGCCATCGGCTGCCAAGCAGGAGCATCCCCCGTGACCTGCTCCTCACCCTCATCTGGTCTGCCCCAGCCCCTGAGATCGGACAGATAGCAGAAAGCAAGTGCTTCAGCCAGGAGGCTACCCCCCCACCACTCCCACGTGACTTGGAGACACATGATTTGGAGGCTTGGGCTGCAGGCCATTCACATCGATGCCGGTTCCTCAGCCTGCAACGCCTCCCAGCCCCCAACTTCACGTTCAGGCTTCAGCTGAGATGGTACCTCCTCCAGGAAGCTTCCCTGTCCTCTCTGCTGGGGAAGGGGACTTTTCTCAGTATGTCCTGCATCGGATCTCAGCTCACATGCCGACTGGGTTTGGGACAGGTTCATCTTGGTCAGTGGTATCCTCAGCTCCAACACCATGCTGGGCACCCACGAGGCGCCTGGCCAGTAACTGATGAGTCATTGGAAAACCGTGGCTTGACCCCATGCCTAGGCCCCTGCAGAGTCACTGGGGAACTGGAAACCTGCGGTAAAGGGCGAGGGTCCCACCCACCCTTCACCGCCCCCCCGCCCCGCTCTCACCTAAGGAACAGCTGGTACTTGGGCTGCTGCGTTTAGCTGGGGCTCCCCAACCTTGCCTCCCCGTGTTCTCCTTCGGTGGAAGGGCTGAGTTGGCGAGACATGTGGAGAACCCTTTCCAGCAGAGGCGTGATGGGAGGTGGCATCCGTCACAGGAGGCTGGGGTTGGAAAGGGGACATCGTGAGGAGGAGAGCAGGTCAGTCAGCACAGGCCTCCTCCGTCTCAGGGAGCGCAGAGCCCGGGCTGACGTGGGCTCTGTTTACTCCTGACTCGCTGTGTGTGACAGATGGGGAAACTGAGGCCCGGAGAATCGAAGAAGGCCAGTTGCACCTTCACGGACTTGCTCAACAAGGAGCTGTGCTTCCCCCACCCCAGTTCTGGGATTAAGAGGTAGATGAGGCAAAGTTGGAAAGAAGCCTTCCCGGGTGGTGCCGACCCGAGGTGAGCACTGGAGGCTGGGGACAGGAGCAGAATCATTTCATCGAGTCCAGGGGGTACGGCGGGAGGAAGGGACACCAGAACCACAGCCTGGAAGATATGCAGGGTCAGTGATGTGGGTTCCAGGAGAGGGCAGGTGCTTCCCTGCTACCCCTTACTCAGCAAAGCCTGTGTTGGGCATGCCCGCCCCGTCCTGGTGCAGCCAACACCCTCCACATAGAACTGGGAGGCCTGGGGGGTCCTGCCAGCCTGGGGGGCTGCGGGGAGAGCAAACACATCTGAGCAGTCGGCCTTTCTGCCTGGGAGCATTTATTGGGTTCCTGCTGTATGCTGGAAACAAGACCCTCTTGGGGCCAGCAAGGAAGCCCCAAGTCACAGGTAAAGAACCCAGGAACCAGGTGGGAGGGTCAGGATGTGGCCCTACTGCGTGCAGCTCCTACACCCCGGGTGTGCCTGGCCTCCTATGTGTGCACCCACTTCACAGCAGAGGGAACAAGGGTGCAGAGCAATCCCGGAAAGGAGGGGGCCTTGAACCCGTGCACAGTAGGACAGGAGCACAGACAGGCTTGGGCTGGGTCACCCCCCACTGCTGGCTCAGAGCTGGGGTCCCGTTGGACCTGTGCACTGGAGCTGGCTTCCTCTGGGATTCTTGGGCAGGCTGAGAGTGCTCTGTGCCCCCGTGCAGGGCCCTGTACCCCCACACAGGTCCCAGGACTGAGTTGTGTCTCCCCTTCGCACACCCCAGGGCAGTGTGCGTCTCTCCCCATAGCTCCCCCAGTGCAGGGCCCTGACTCCTGCTCTGACCCTGGGCCTGGCTGCTTTCTCTCCTCTTAGCCCCGTGGGGTCCAGACTGTCCATTACAAAGCCACCAGGAGCCTTTGTGCAGGGTTAGGGTCCGGAGCAGCCCCCCCACCCCTGAGAGCCTGCCAGATGAGAACAAGAACAAGGCCTGGTCAGGTCCCAGGATGTGTTGCCAGGGCAACCAAGTACCTTCTTGCCTCTTCCCTGCTAGCCACTGATTGCTGGGCAGCCTGTGTGCATGTGTGCGCGTGCGCACATGTCTGTGTTTGCACGCGTCTGTGCCATGTACACAGCCATGTGCCTCTGTACACATGTGAGTGTGTTCGTGTGGCCGCGTGCATGCTGAGTGCAGCCCTGTTTGTATGCACACAAGACACAGTGCAGGTGCAAGCATGTGAAGGCACGCATGCACGCCAGGTGTGGCCATGTGCGTGTGTTAGCATGCACGTGTGCCTGCACGCTCTCATGTCTACACGGGCGGTGTGTGTGTGTTTCTCTGTGCAAGTCAGTAACAAGCTGTGTCATGCATGTGCACGTGTGTGTGCTGTGACTGGCCGTTCCTCAGGACACCCGAAAGGACTTACCCAAATGGGACCAGCAGCCTGAGAAGACTCCTTCCTCCTGTCTGCGTGCGGGCTCCTCGCGGGAAACACCCTTGCCTAGTGCTCCATTCTGCCTTTAGGTCTCAACCCCCTTCTCTTTCCCAGGGCAACCCATACCCCATTGAAGTCAGATCCCCCTCTACTGCCTGTGACAGCAATCTGAGCAGGATGGTCTGTGTTTGCACCCAGCGCTCAGCCCAGGGTGCAACCAGGGGAGGCATCAGTCCTCTCTCCTTGCAGCCTGGCCGCCGCCCCAAATGTAGCTACTCTCAGGAGAGTCAGGGACATCCAGGGCCCCCGCCAGCAGTAGGCACCCAACTGGGTGCCAATCACGAAACGCTGCCCCTTTCTCTGAGTGGAGCCAGCACAGGCCACACACAACAGAGCCAG